GATGAATGGCTTGGTGAGCCATGAGCGCGAGATCGAACCATCGACCTTGCGTGCGACGCAGAGCACCTCTGACGAATGCACCACATGCGCTCTGATAAATCATAATTTGCAACTATTAATTAAAGGTATGCGCACTATACAATCAAAACTGAATGCTTCTGGAAAAAAAATCATTTACTTACCATAGTACAATAAAAAAAGGCAGACCAATACTTTCGAAGAAAAACCATAAGATTTACGTACCTCGCAGCTGATCCTCATAGGATATAGATTCATCAATAAGATTTGAAAAGAATAAAAGATCATCGATAGCCTGAAAAAAAACAATTAAAACACAACCTAAGAGAAATGAGTAGTTAGGAAAAATTCGACGTCAGGCGGGATCCGAACCACCGATCCACCCATATCGCGGCGCGTGCTACCACTACACCACCAAGAAATCGTTCAAACACACTTTATCAGATGTAGCTGACCAGATAAATATGCTTTTTTCGAGAGATGTTGAGAAGAAAAGATTAAAAATTGACGAAGTGTTGAAGGAGGTTGCCTTTTATTGTTCCAAAAGCTTTCTTGTCTCCGTAATCGGTAGCTCGCAGAGAAATTTCAAGAACACGCTTGACAGGAAAAATTGGTGAATGCAGAATAAATATCGATAATAGCGACATATTTCAAAAACTAATCTACGAGTATGTAATACTCACGCATTTCTTTGTAACTGAGGAGCCGTAGATGAATGGTTTTGATGCTCGTCGCGCCTCGCATGGAGCCGATCTCCACCCTCCAACACTCTCCGGTAGGTTAACAAAAACGCCACAGCCAGGCTATCCACGAGATTGCAAGAGGACATGCTCGACCAGTATTCTACGTCATTCAAGAAGAAGACAAACGAATCGAATGCTAGAAGTACGGGGATCCGCACAATGAAAATTGTGATGACGGATTGTGCAAATAAAATGGATTATTAAAAACCTCGTCAAGAATTTTTACGAAAATTGCTAGGTTAACTTGGACCTGATTCAATATTTATCATAAATACCTGCAAAAACAACGTCTTCATTATTTTTATCACCTTAACTGATTAATATCAGAATTTTTGTCTTTGCAAATCCCAGTATTATTAGCAGTCAACTCGTCTCGTCGCACTCATCGCTTTGAGGATTTGATTTCTCTGTAAACGTCGTAGAATACTCTTTGAACATGTCTACTTGCAATATCGAGGACAGTCAGACTGAAACGTTTCGTAGGGCGTTCGTTATTGATTGTCGGATGTGGGTGGAGAGGCAGAGGACCACTCTGCATCGAGCCGCGCTAAGCATCACTAGCCACTCGGCCAACAGGTTATAGTGAAAACGAAAATGACAGTCAAAAACTGATAACAGTTTTGGCCTCTTATCTGCATAAGACGGTGAATGGACCACCATAGGCATATAACGAAGTTGAAGAACAACGAAATCGTACTTATGTGGCTTTTGAATGTCGCTAGTTTTACGCCCACCAGAAAAATGAAATTCAAGTCGCTTTCTAATAGGATTTAGTATAACACGGCATATACCATCGCTCCTTGAAATACATGAAAAGAGCAGAAAATGAAACATAAATGTAAAATATGAATGTAAATAACTGTGGCCGTTTCAACGGACTTTTTGAGAAAATAATGCTGTGTGACATGCAATACCCTTCAGCTGCAACTTCAGGGGAGAGTTGGTCGCAGAAAGAAAGCCAGCAAAAGAGTGACCCGATGGTTCAGTGCTTAACACGAGCCACTGAGAACGGTGGGACTCGGGTTCAGTCTGCGCCTGAGATTCAAATTTTTGCGTCCCAATTAACGTAAAATGTATGCAGTCATTACATCATATAACTGCTGAAAAAACGACTAAATAAAAATATTCAAGCAAAACTAGATGTAACTAACCCACAGCCTCCATAATTATGTTCTGTGACAAGATATATAAGGTTAGGTTAACGACGATATCCGATAAGTAATTTTCGAAAACTCGCAAATCTAAAAGAATCCTCATTAGAGTCAAACACGTATAAAAATAGAAACACCACTGATCAAAAGTGCTATTGCGTTGATATTGCAAAGGAATTTCAGTACTTATATGTCAGACGGCGACAAATGAAAAACCGATCACATTCACTGAACAGGAACTTCTCACAGGAGTGTTTAGTAATCCTTTCATTATTATTTGAGTCAACTTGTCATGCAGTCGGTAAGGGCTCTTGTACAGCCCGATACACGTGTTTCGTCCTTACAGACTCGTCAGTCGGGCAGAACCCGTCGTCTTTCGGCCTTTTTATTATTATTCAGTTCTCTCGGGGCCTACGCTCCTTACAGAGAGTTATCGAAGACGAAATTTGAGCGTGGTCTTAACAAAACACTCGAGATAAAGGTATAACATGTTTAGTGAGAAAAATCTCTTTTAGAAGAAAAATCTCTTGTGACACTGTAAAATTCAAAATCAAAATTACAATTCAAAGGACCTCGTGTTTTTTTCTTATCTTGCATATATCTTGCTGAAGAAAACCTTCCTAGAAGCTCCTTTGCGCTTCTCAGTTAGACTTCACTTCCACTTTTTTAATCCTTATCACTAATTCTTTTTTCTCCCTAGCGTCTCACTACTTTTGAAACTCGATTCGCCTCCTCGCTTCTTTGACGATTTCATCGTCTTTAAGAACCTCAGTTCGATCAGTCTCCTCGCATGTTGAGGATTTCACTTTGTTCACGGAGGTGGTAGACTATTCATCGAACACGTCTCCTTGCAATCCTGAGGATAGCCAGGCAGCGACGTTTCTCAAGATATTGATTCGTTGTTGATTGCCGAAAGTTGGGATGGTGCGGGAACTGCTGCGCGTCGAGCATCACTGGCCACTCAGCCATAGCGCCCTCCCCTCCACCCCCGAGTAGAGTAGTCATCAAGAAAAGAAAAGGAAAAGAACAGTCTGTGAGAATAACTGCGAACATTAGACACTCCATAGCAATGTAAAGCCCACGGCAAAATTAACGATACCTAGTGAGTCCTCGAAAGTATGAATTACTTGGCGAAAAATCTCTTTCGGGTGCTTCCAGCAAATGCCCTGGAATCTACAGGCCAGAGCAACTCATTCATGACTGAAAATCCTGCGCTGTTTCTCCATGAACTGTAAAAACGCAAACGCTGAGTTAGAGGACAAGACATTGGAAAGGATCGAATAAAGTCTTCAAAAAGAGAGACCAACGGATGAGTGACGTTAAGGGAGCTGGTTTACGAAGGAAGCAAAGCTTTGTCCAAGGAAAAAACTAAGCTACACAGCCTTCTATCTCATCACAGCCGTCTCTATCGGATTAGTTATTAGGACATAACGTGATCATTCTAAACAACGTGTTTACAGGGATTCTGGAACTGTTCCGAAAGACTAGACGAATCACGCTTGTTCTACTTCTTTTATCGTCGACGACAACAGACCTTGTCTATAGTCTCGACTTTATCCTGAGAGATCAAAATGAGCCTTTTATCACTCAAAGTTCTACCCCACACATCGACGCTGAGAGGCTTCCTTGGGTGCCGGAAGTACAAGTTACAGCGAGGGTTGGTCGTTTCCCTGCAAGGTTTTCCAAGCTGAAAACGAGTCCAATGCATCCCGAAAGCCTAACCAAAAGTAATATGAACTTAGAATTACCGTCGTCTCGGTATCAAGTAGTCCCAAATGGCAAATCTTCCCCTGATCCATAAGGACCGGCGATTGCCTGATGTGGTGACTTGCGGGAGACTTCGGCTAGGCTGACCTCGGAACTGCAAGGGGCAACAGTAACTGAACCAGCATATTTTTCTGAAAGTATGCTGAGGTCTCCACTACATAAGGAAACCGCAATGTTTAGTTCAAGTAATCCTTCTGCTACAGCGTGTAGCGAAAGCGATAAACGCATGTTTGCGCTGTTCAGAAGACTTACGAAGACTGGAGCAATTCCCAATAAAACCTCTACTTAACTAACAAATTTGAGCTGAAGGGGCTCCAAGGGTCACAATGAATCATTTGGGGAGGTACGAACTGCACGTTGTACAGGAAAGTGTGTCGTGGAGGGCATTCAACTCTTCGTGGTCGTCCGAACCACACCATCCGAAAGTGGCCGCTGTAAAGACATAGTTAGTAACAATCTGGTACTTATATGTTGAGGTCCTTCTGTAGGAGCGTCAAAAACGGTTTTTTCGAAATGCGACGACGTGGAGCTGCAGAGTGAAGTCTCAGCTTTCGAACAATTACTAACACTCCTATGAAAAGCTCCTCTCCAGTCTAATGAGGTCGGTTTTTCATTTGTTCCCTCCTAGTCAGAAAGAATCCAAAACTAAATGGGCCTGGAAAAATTAACTACTGAAGTTTAACAAGAGAAAAAAAACCAATTTTTTGAAAAAGAAAACCGTAAGATTTACGTAGAAACTAAGCCTCAAGGATATACATTCAGCAACAAGAGTAGAAAACATTAAAACATCATCTGAAACTTGAAAAAAGACAATTTAAACACAACCTAAGAGAATACAGTGGTGATCAAAAATTCGACCTCACGCGGGAGTTAATCTCGCGTTTCACCCATACCAGGGGCGTGTGTTATCACTACACCACCAAGGCACCGTTAAAACACATCTTATGAGATGTAGATGACCAGATAGATTTGCTCTGGTTCAAAAAATATTGCCAAAAAGATATTAATAATCGGACGAAATCATATCTTTCGTTTCGAGTGCTTTCTTGAGACCACAGCTCAAATTTCAATATGCCTGGTAATTATTTTTGAGCCATGCATGTCAGTGGTCTGTTCAATCGGGCTCTATAAGTCACCCCATATAGCAGACCACTGACATGCGTGGCACTAAAATAATTACCAGGCATATTGAAATCGACGAAAGGTTGAAAAGGTTGCTTTTTCTTGTCCCAAAAACGTTCTTGCCTTTCTAACCGGTAGTTCGCTAAGGAATATCAAAAACACGCTTGAAGAAAAAATCGATAGATTCTGTATAAATGTCGATAATAGCGACATATTTCAGAAATCAATAAACGAGTATGTAATCACCACGCTTTTCTTAGAAAGTTGGGCGCCGCGGCCGAGTGGTTGTGATGCTCGATGCGGCGTGCGTGGAGGCGAGCTTCAGCCTCTAAAACGCCCTATGAAACACCATACCTAGGCTATCCACGAGACTGCAAGGGGGCATGCTGGGTCAGTTTTCTACGTCATTAAACAGGAGGACGAAAAAGGAATCGAATGCTAGAAGTTCTGGAATCTTCGGAAAGAAAACTGTGATCGCGGGTCGTGTGAATAAAATCGATTCCTAGGAATTTTGAAAAACCTTTAATAACTAGAAAAAAGAAAGATTTCCGACGAAATTGTTGAGTTAGGTTGGATCCAATTCAGGGTTTGGTATAAATGTATAGAAAAACAATCTTTTATTTCATCTTCATGACCCTAGTAGTTTCCTATAACTAATTTTTCTCTTTGCGAACCCAGGGCTACTAGCAATCAACTCGTCTCTTCGCATTCATCGCTTTTACGAATTGTCCTCTTTAAAAACGTCGTAAAAAAAACTAATTGAGCACATCTACTTGCGATCTCGATAATAGCCAGAGTGAAAGCGTTCCGTAGGCCGGTCGAAATTGATTCTCAGAGTGTTAGGGGAAGGTGAGGGATCACTGTACGTCAAGCGACGCTGAGCATCACTATCCACTCGGCCCCGAGTGCTGGTCAAAAACGGCAATAATAATCAAATGCTGATAAAAATTTTGACCTGTTATCTGCATATTTAAAGTGAATGGCCCCCTTAAGCATAGAATGAAGTGGAAAAGGAACAAAATCGTACCTGTATGGCTTTCGGATGTCGTTAATTTTCCGCTCACTATAGAAGTGGTCGTATTTCAGTAGGCAGGATTAGTAAAACACGGCATATCTCACCGATCCTGGAACTGAAATGAAAAGATTAAAACACAGTTTGAAAGGCTGTGATCTCCACACAGCACTATGTGTCGGATGTGCATAATCTTCGCCGGACAGAGCTCTTTACTTTATCTGTTAGTAATCATTCGATAGCGCAATCGTCTTTTGATTCCAACGCCGTGCTTATGTACTAAAAACACGATTTCTCCGAAATGTAGCAGGTATCAAATAAGTTGATTTCCCACCTGCGACCAAGATGGAGCTTGGCCAACTCACCAACGGCTGACTGAGGCAGCCACGTGACCGGGGCAAGGTCTATCGTCTGCATCAGCTAAGCGCACGTGAATTGGTCAATGTTCACCTCGGTCGCAGATGAACATTCAACGTATTTTACCGACAGCATTTCAGAAAATCCGTCTTGTCAGGATATAAAAGCAGCGTTGAAATCAAAAACGATGACGCTAACGAATGATTACTAATAGTCGAAAGAAAGAGCTATGTCCGGCGAAAAATAAGCGCGTCTGCAACGCAAGAAACTCTCTCCTGTAACAACGTCAAAAAAAGGTTTTACGAAAATCAGCGACGTGGAGCTGTAGCCTGAACTCTCAGCTTTCGAATGGTTACCAACACTCTTGATCAAAAGCTCCTCTCCAGCGAATGAGATCGATTTCTCATTTGTTCCCGTGCAATCAAAATGAACCCCGGAGCCTTTCTCACGATGTTCAGCCACGAAACACATAGGCCTGAGCACACCGACGATGTTTGATATCTGATTTTCGAACTCTCGCAAATCCAAATAGAAGCTTTATTAGAGCCAAACAAGCATAACGAGAGCCACTGCCAACTATCCAAAGAACTATTGCGTTGACATTTCAAAGGAAATTTCATGCAAAGTTCTATTTCCATATGATAATTCAACTAGTGAACGTATGGCGCAGTGGTTAGCGGTGTCCTGCAACACATACGCGATTTGGCGGTCCGATCCAGCACTCACAGCTCAGTAAGATTTCCATGCGTCCATGGCAGGTGAATTGCTACCAGACTTGACTTGTACGGGAGGAGAGTAGCACTGACTTTTCACATCGGTAGGGACATGGTGAGTCATTGTAAAGGCCAGATATGCATTAGATCACCTCTAACGATACTGAATAAAAGTAATGAAATACAATACTGAATAAAATGGAGCGCATGTGGCGCAGTGGTTAGAGGTGTTCCGCGTCGCACGCGAGGTCAATGGCTCGATCTCGCGCTCATGGCTCACCAGCCATCCTTCCCTCCGGGGTCGGTAAATTGGTACCAGACAGGTCTCAGACTCGTCTGGGAGGATGAGCAGCACTGACTCGGTTCAGCGGGAGGCCACCGCGAGTCATTGTAAAGGCCAGATATGCATTCAATCACCTCAAACGAAGTTAGAAATTGAAGTCGAATGCATGGCCCATCCCTCAGGGATTGATCAATGCCGAGAACTTTAGCCTTTTATCCCTTTTATCTCTATGATTTTTGTAGGAAATCTGGGGCTACCATCTCAAGGATCCTTGTTAATTTATCACTTTACCACTTTAGTTAACCCGTATAATTTTTTTTTCTTATGTAGATCCCTGTATTCTCGCGTTCAATTCGTCTCCTATTCAACGCTTGATTGAGAATTTATCTCTTTCATGGACGTCATAGAATACTGGTTGTGTACGTCTCCTTGCAATATTGAGAATAGCCAGGTTGGGGAGTTTCGTGGGGAGTTCGTTATTGGAGTGCTGAGGATCAAGCCCTCCCCTCCGCTCCTTCTGCACATATTACTCGAAAGAATACAAAAAACGGTTTTTCGTCGTTATGAGGAGACAAATAAAAACGATCTCGTTTGCTGGAGAGGAGTTTCTCGTAGAATTACTTGTGACTGTTCGAAAGCTGAGACTTCAGACTACAGTCCCACGTCGTCGGTTTTCGAAAAAGCCTTTTTTCACGCTGCTACAGAAGGAGATTTCTTGCGTTGCAGATGCGCATATTTCTCACCGGACAGAGTTCTTTTTTTATTATCAGTAATCATTCGATAGTGTAATCGTTTCTGATTCCAACGCTGTGCTTATATCCGAAAGGGGCCATTTCTCTGCAACGTTGCTGGTAAAACAAGTTGATTTTGCATGTGTGAGCTAGGGGGTCCTTTGGCCAAATTGCGCGCCTGTGCGTGAGGCGGCCACGTTCGAGTGTCGCGTCAGCAGTTCACGTGGTCGTCTCACGCACAGGCACGTGAATTGGCCAAAGAGTCTCCTTGCTCACACATGCGAGTTCAACTTATTTTACTTGCTGCGTTGTAGAGACACAGTCTTTTAGGATATAAGCACAGCGTTGGAATCAGAAACGATTACACTATCGAAAGATTACTAAATAAAGAGCTCTGTCCGGTGAGAAATATGCTTGTTTGAAGCGAAAAAATATCTCCTGCAGCGTCAAAAAAGTTTTTCGAAGACGGGCGGGTAGCACTGTAGCCTCAAGTCTCGGCTTTGAAATCATCATGAGATTCGCTAAGAATTTCTTACTCTTATTGGAACCTCAGGTCTCCTCGACAAACAATCTTTTATCTCTACATTCCATCCATGTCATATTTACAACTTGGCTGCAAGTGAGTACTCTCAGACGCTTACAATACATATTAGGATGCATACTGGTGAGAAGCCCTACCCTTGTGGAATTTGCGGACAGAAGTTTCGAGATAGGTATGTTTGAAGTTTTTGGAACAGTGTTACAATTTTTCTTGTATTTCCTTCAAAAGGTTTTTTAGTTCTGCTCCACGAAAGCACGAATATAGGCATGTTACGATTCCTTCATCGATGGTTTCTTCATTGTATGAAGATTCAGCTCTTGAGACTGAAGTAGGTGATGACGAACCTTCTTCATGGAACGGTGGGAATCTGACCAGTTAGTGCATCGTGGCCTACTTCGACGATCACTTTTCAGTACGTAATGGCCAGATTATAGGCCTCCACCAAACACGTTGTATTCTTTACCGATCTCATCCTGTATTATAATGTTTACGCCACTGATGAGTGCTCCAATGTGTCTTTTTTTCCGTGTTTTTGACCTAAATAGTAGTTCTTTAACATAAACGGTTTTTTTCTGAAGTGACTTTCAACATTCAGATTACTCCGTGAATTATTTATAGCGCTGTAATCTAGAAATTTTTGATTTTAAAGCTTTTTGGCAATGGTATGATGTTACAAGAGTACATTTGGTAATGTTGAGTGGTATGCAAAACGTTCGACATCAAGTGAGAGTTGAACCCTCTACTCACGTATACGGAGTACGCGTGCCACCACTGCAACATGGTACCACCGCTCTGCTCCCACTTTTTCTTCGATGTAAAATTGCGTCGCTATCAGCAACCAAACTGTAGCTGGTTTGATTTGGTAGGCAGATATTGGCCTTAAACCCAAATTCTCTGACAGCTGTTGGGTACATGTAATTCATATAGAATTTGCTTTGCTGACTCTAGCAAAGGTATGAAGCTACATGTGTGGATCTATGAATGTCGAGTGATGGCATCGGTGGTGTAGTGGAAGCACGCGCCCGTTCTATGGGGTAGAACGCTATTCAACTACCGCTTGATGTCGAGTGTAAGTTGCATACCACTCGAGATTATTGGATATCCTTAAGAGTATCATGTAATCCTGATTCGATCATTACAATGTGGTCAGAATATCCCTAACAGATC